CTGAAGTCGGCTGCTTAACCGACTGCGCCACCCAGGCGCCCCCACATCAGCTCTTAAGAAGTGATCTGGTCATCTCAGGTACTCTCATATCCTCATGTGCTTAATGTCTGACTTTCTCCAGATTATAACTTTCATGAATTAAGGATTAGAACTAGGTTAGGGTTAGGGTTAGTGGCGCATAGAAATAATAAGAGTCTAATTTAAGGTTGGTCTCAGAGGAGATAGAGAGATGGCTGGGAATGAAGTTGAAATATTAAGAAAAAATTTAGAGGGCTTGCTAACAAATTTGCCATGAAGGATGCGAAAGGCAGCAGTCAAGATGAATCTGAGATTTTTTTAATTGACTCATTCAAATGTGCTGTGGGACAGCAAGAGGAAGACAGGGGCTGGTTTATTGGTAAAGGGTGGCGGACAGTGGAGGGCTTGTGAACAGTGAGTCTGGTTTGGAAACTGTAAGATACTCGGGGAGGTTGTCCAGAAGGCAGATAGACTTGTTTTAAGTCAATGTGAGCAGGAAAATCAAAACGAAATTGTGAAGTGGGCAAAGTTATCTTTAGAAACCCCTTTCTCTTTTAGGATCCATTTCAGGTCCCCAGTTCCCTAATATTTATTTATCCACAATCTTTCTTTATCCACATCTGCTCTTAAGAAGCAATCTGAGCAGCACCTGGGTGGCTCAGTCGAGTAAGTATCCGACTTTGGCTCAGGTCATGATCTCGTGGTTCGTGGGTTCGAGCCCCTCATCAGGCTCTGTGCTAACAGCTCAGAGCCGGGAGCCTGCTTAGGATTCTGTCTCCCTCTCTCTCTGACCCTCCTCCACTCATGCTCTGTCTCACTCTGTCTCTCAAAAATAAATAAATGTAAAAAAAAAAAAAAAAAGAAGCAATCTGATCATCTCAGGTGATCTCAGTTTTGAAGGTGACCTATTGATGAGACACAATGAGTTAGCTCTCTCATGTTGTACTTGAACGCTAATAACACCACTCATAGAACCAGTGCTCACATAGCTCTTTCTGTGTGCCAGGCGCTGCTCCAAATACTAAATGTTTTTCCCAGCACCATGAGGCAGGAAGTATTTTATAAGTGAGAAAACAGATATTGGGAGGCTGAGTTGTTCAAGGTCACGCAGCCAGTTAGCAATGTAGCAGGAAACATCCCCTGGGTGGGGGCTCTAGAATCCGTTCTTGTAACCACTCTCCTGGGAATGAAAGCATAAGGGTTGAAATATGTAGTAAATTGGGGGGTGAGGTGAGGGGACTCTAAGCAAAGTTCCGATTCCATTGTGCAAATTCACTGCGGTCTCATCCTGCTAACTAGTGAGTGCGATGATATGGACTCTGCCCAGAATTAACCTTGGGCAATTCACTTAATCTCTTTCTGTTTCATTTTCCTCATACATAAAAGAAGGAGAAATGACCCATATACAAGTTTATTCCTTATAGCAATGCTTGTAATAGCTAATAGCTGGAAACAACCTAAATATCTCTTGATAGGAAACTGGATTAAAAAAAAAAGATTGTACACCCATAAAATGGAATATAAAGCAGTCATAAAAAAGGAGGTGAGGTAGATCTCTATGTACTGCTATAGAGTGATTTCTAGAATAGATTGTTTTACACACACAGAGACCATGGTACACAGCTGGGTATATAAAATGCCACAATTTGAACAAATAGGGGTGATAGGAATATATATCTTTATATTTGTACAGGCAAACTTACAGGAAACCTATAGAATTAGCTGCTTCAGGAGCACTGGATGGATGGCCAAGAGAGACATCAGGAGAGAACCTTTACCAGTTAGGAAAGCCAGCAGGAAATACACAGCATACTCAACAGGTGTAATCAAAGGGGGTTTAACAAAGAATGATCTACAAAGGTGTGACAGGGCTAAGGCACCCAACAGAGGATGTGATGTGCCCACCCTTAGGCCAGCTACAGAGGGGAACCATTACCATGCCTAGGCCCCAAGGGACAACAGGAGTAAGTGGTCACCTGAACCCAGAGAGAGAAAAATAAAACATGAAGCGAGATGTGGCACCTGGGTGGCTCAGTCGTTTAAGCTTCTGGCTTCAGCTCAGGTCATGATCTCACGGTTGGTGGTTTCCAGCCCTGCGCTGGGCTCTGTGCTGATGGCTCAGAGCCTGGAGCCTGCTTCGGATTCTGTGTCTCCCTCTCTCTCTGCCCCTCCCCCACTCATGCTCTGTCTCCCTCTCTCTCTCTTTCTTTCTCTCTCTCTAAAATAAAGAAACATTAAAAAAAAGAAAAAACAAGAAGCGAGGATTAGAGAAGGTTTCTAAGCCTCTCCCTTTCAAACGCTACTTAGTTCTTTGAAATCACAACCCATAGCCCCATCTAGTGGCAAAGCGATGCCTCACTGTCCTCAGCACAGTCTCATTTTAGGGGAATTCTATCGCGAGCCAGGCTCTGGGCTCCAACAACACTGGCGTGCGTGAGCCGTTTTCACTGTGAATCATACCCACTTGGTGAATGATCTTATCCCCTAAAGGTAGAGAATAATCATTTTGAGACACAGAATATTTGTTGTGTTTTCCTCTAAAGAGATAGTGGAAATTCACTTAAATTCAGTTTTGCACTAAGTAGTTATGATATTGTCCTGTGTTTCAAATCATTACATAAACTTAGAGGTAAGCAGCACACGATCTAAGACTGTCAATCTTCCATAAGCCCACGTTTCAGCTTTGCCACCACCCTGCTCATATGTCCTTACTGCAGTGAATCTCCTAGTCTTAGATTCTAACTTAATTGGGCGGAGATGAGACTCAGGCATTGATTTTTGGGTTTAGTTTTGGTTTTAAGATCCACAGAGGTTTTGGGGCGCCTGGGTGGCTCAGTTGGTTGAGTGCCCTACCCTTGGTTTCGGCTCAGGTCATGATCTCCAAGCTTCATGGGTTCGAGTCCCACATCGGGCTATGCACTGGCAGCACGAAGGCTGCTTGGGATTTTCTTTCTTTGTCCCTCTCGCTCTCTGCCCCTCCCCCACTTGCTCTGTCTCTCTCAAAATAAATAAACTTAAAAAAACAAAGATCCCCAGGGGTTGTAATGGGCACACAGGGCTGGGAGTCCCTGCTTCCTCCTCTGAACTCCCAAAGATTTTTAAAACAACTTTTGTGATCTTTTTTCCTTAATAGAAAAATTAATGCGATGACAGAGTATTCTTTTTGCTCATCAGATTGACAGTAAGCAAACCCTCTGGT